TAATCAGATACCAGTGTCTTTCCTGGATAGTTGCGAGATCTAGGTATGAAGCCTTGCTTCATTTATGTCACTTTCTTTTAGATGGTCCCTCAGGACTTTTATTACCAAGATCTGGATAAAGCGCCGTTATCTTCTTTGTGACTTCTTTGGGTTGATCTAGACGCAATATTTAGGGTGAAGCGTGACAAAGGGATCGCTATCCTTCCTGCTTCGCTCTTTACTGACAGCTCCGTTTAGACTGGATGGGGTTTCCCTCTTTATTTAATCCATTACCTCTACCTTTCCTTCATTTTGAGAAAAATCTCTAAGGAGTTGAAATGCAATATAATTTACACAGAGATACACAAAACATTAATAGCAAAAAAGTTACAAAAAGCAAAAACCGTAAGAGAATAGAAAACTCACAATTCATGTTGCAAATATCGATTTACTTCAATTTCTACATCATTCTATATTTTCGCTTGGAAGAGTGGGTCTTCCTCATTATCCTCTAATCACTTTCTCTTCCCACATTGCTCATTATCAATTAGCTTTTGTATTCTTCTTTGCTTTTAATTCTTCTGCATTAGCAGTTACCGTATCCTCTTTACTCCTTGTTCTTTCTTATGGGCCTCTAGCACCAACGCTGCTTCTAACTTCTCGTAATTCAAGCAGTGAGCTCATTGCAACTCGGCAGTCCTTTCCTAGCAATTATTGCAATCAATTCAGGCTTTCCGTGATTCCTATAAGCACAAAAAATCATACAAGCGATTAGTACTCATATTGTAGTTATAGATAAAAGATATTAAAAAAAAGAAAAGGAACATAAAAATAGTGAACTATTAGAGCAAAGATGTGAACAAAACTTCTGGCGATGACTATTGAAGAAGAGGAAGGTATTCTTTTGGCCAATGCTGTAAGATCTTGGTCTCTGATAATTTTGTTACATCGTGTATCCATCCTCCTTACCTTTCTGGTATTCTTGTTTAACACAAAATATCAGCGGTAGCCACCTGCAATATCTGAAAGTTATACTGCTATCTTCCACTATTTCATAAAAACCAAACCTACAAAAAATCTATATATTAGAAGTCATAAACAATAACGCATTTGTCAAATAAGATTTTTACAAAGTAAATTCTGCATGCAAGCTCAACCGTAATACGGAGGTAAAAAACCACCCATGTAACCAGCGTATTGAACACTCCTTCCCTAAGTTCCTCATACCTAAGAGACGTCTTGGCCTTAATTCATATCTTTGCCTAGAAAATGTAAACACCGACATGAAACCCCAATTATATTTATTCAATAGTGGACAACTGGCTCGCTGCATATCGAAACGCCCACAAAGGACATGTCCTACATGTCGCGCGGGCATAATATGAAGCCGATAATGAATAGCCACAATAAGTTTCAGCACAAGTTACAAAAGGTCTTTATTAGCCATTTCTTATAATCAATCTCCAAAGCGCATTCTATCGGCGCATCCCCCCAAATCACCGCCTTCTTTTCATCCATCGACTTTCTTCTTTGCGTTTACTCGCTACTACCTTTCCGTTCTGCTTGAGTGTCTTATAATTCTTTACAGATTTGGGTGTAAGATTGTATTAGCCGCCGTCAACACTCATTTTTTATTTTTGGAATTCCCTCCGTTTGGTAAATTAACCTTAGGTAATTCGGTGAATATGCCTCTATAACGCAAATACACATTCCTTTTTGTGTGCCAAATCAAAACTGAAATGAGGCATTTATCCACAAGGAAATTAAATTTTGAAATAAAGCATTCAAATTGCTATTTGCTCATTGTTCAAATGTGTCAGGTATTCGGAGAAAGTTTGTGAATAAGGTGTCGCGTCTTTCATAGAGATTTCGTATGCCTTTCATCCAATACTATACGCTTTATCAATTAAATGCTCGAAAAAAACAAATATTGGTATGGAATTTCTAATTGTGTTATCATAGCCCTACAAGAGAATTATAATTTAGAAGGTTAAAACTAAATATAATTGGAAAATTCATGTATAGCTAAGGATATATTACTTGCCAAAAAACACGCAATAAAACACTAAACATTATATCTAAACAAACAAGCAATGACTCATTCAAGCAGCTACATAATACATTAAACAGATTTGGAGAGGGGAACAAAACTGCAAGAGGATATATCTGCCATTCAAAAGGCAATGACTTGTTGACACATACATCAGTAGGCGGAGACATCAATTTGTAACTTTCGCCGCCATATTAAAAACAAACATTATATCTCATACAAAAATTTACTTACGTATCGTAAGAGATATTGCAATTTAGAAAGAGGAGGCTATTGATTTTGAAAGAATGCGAAACGTTGACGGCTTTCAATTTGTTCGAGGTCATGAGGGCTGATGAATGAGGTCGAAGGCCGAAACTCCAAACGAGGGATGGTCCGAGGGCGAGTGGCGAGCTTCAGTAGGCGACGCTGAGGCGTAGCGTATACTGAAAAGAGAGAAAACAACCTGTTCGATGTATTGATATAAGCTACGTGTTTAAAAAATATAAGATTATTTCTTTTGTTCTAATTTCGCCTGCATCAAAATAAAAAATTCCGCAAATTTGTTCTCATCTTCAACCAATTGTTTGTATGCACGTGAGAGAAGTTGTTGGCGGTGTCCATACAAGCTATCAATTATCACATATAAGAAGGTTCAAAATCTAAATAGAAAAATAACGTCCCTCAAGTTTCATTCTTTCAATTTCACTAAACAATCTCATTACGAATAATGTTAGACCTAAAAAATTGATATATTCATTTAATTCATATCCGCAAAATCAACAAGAATTAAAAACTTCAAGGGCGAGGGGATGCAAGAAATAGTTTAGTATTTGTTTAAATTTATTTTCTTGGGAGCTTGAGCAGTTTAAGTCTGTTTGCCTAAGAGACTTTTAGACCTGTTTTCAAATGTTGGCACAGTGGATACTAAAAAACACAAGAGAACGAGAAAAGGATGTGCTGTATAAAGGGTATAGGCAAATTTTGTGATTGTATACTCTTGTCACAGTACAAGCTTGGGATTATTTCTCGGTCCATATGGCAAATAATCATTTGTTGGCTATTTTGTGGGGCATGTAAATCAGAAGAGAGGTTCATACAACAGTTCTGAGATATGTAAAGTTAAAGTAATGATATTAAAATTCAATCTGTTCCAGAAAGCCTAGGGAGCAAAACATTTTTAATTAAAGACTAACATAACCGCAAATTTTTTTAATTTAAAAGCCGCAAACTGGAGGGCCGCTTAAGGCGGGCGTGACGGCGGAGCGGATGTCGAGGAGCGTAGTCGAGGAGAGGGCGGCGTTGAGGCAGGCTGGAGAAGAGCGGATGGGCCGGAAGGGCGCGCTGAGAAGGATGTCGAGGGCGCGAGTCGAGGAGAGCGGTGAAGTTGAGGAGAGCAAGACGTGCCGAGGAGTTCAAAGGCCGCTCGTGACGTGATGCCGGAGCGGGTGTCGGGAGTTCGACGGTCGCGTCGGCGGCGATGATCCGAGCGGTGTCGAGGGGCAAAGTCGAGGAGGCAAAGTTGAGGTCGAAAGTTGAGGAGAGCGAGGTGTCGAGGGTCCGATCGGCGGCGTGATCCAGAGTGGTGTCGAGGCTGATCGGGCCGTGATCAAGAGCGGTGTCGAGGGCAAAGTTGAGAGAGCGGTTGTCGAGGCCGATCGCGGCGTGATCCCAAAGCGGCTGCAGGGCAAAGTTGAGGATATGCGGTGTCGAGGCCGATCGGCGTAGAATTTCGGACCACGATCGCGATTATTTTCCCTGGGATATTGGCCGATTAAAACAAATTTAGAATTTGTTTTTAATTAAATGGGAATTGTTATGTAATATAAGGGCTTAGATGTTATTTGGTTTTTTTTTGAATCATGGTGCAAGATCGCACATCCTTAAGGGCTACACCTAAAGGGAGTCACCTTAGGTACAACTTTTTCCCTATATATAATATGATATATATATATATATATATATATATATATATATATATATATATATATATAGATATATAGATATATATATATATTAGTAGTATAAATTAGAGATTTGGTGATTTTGAGCTATTATGAATGTAATTAAGAGAATAACTATGATCACGTAATCGTGTTTAGTCCCACATTGACTACACAATAAATGTTTTGTTATTGTATAGCTATATAAAGGAAAATAGTTGTAGCTTTTTAAATATAAATAAAAATCTATAATATTTTATTGTTTAACAATAATGATAGAGTGAGATGATGGGGTAGAAAATTTAAGATGAGTCAAGTAACTATTGAATGTTAATTACTGCTTAAATCTCACTCAAAACTCAACTCCCCTTTCTTCACTATATCTTTATTCTCTCAAGAACTTCATCTCGAGTCTTCTTTATCCATAAAGTAACAATAGAGTGAGATGATGGACTAGAAAATTTAAGATGAGTCAATTAATCTTGACCATTGGATCTTAAATAATGCTTGAATCTCACTCAAAACTCAACTCCCCTTTCTTCACTTATCTTTATTCTCTCAACTTCATGCCGAGTCTTCTTTATCCACTATAGTTTGTTCCATTCTCATTAGTTTTCATGATCAAACATTAGTGTTAATAAAATCCCTTTATATAGTCCTCTTCATAGATGTCTGAAACGTGTATCACTAACTCACTATATCGAACTACGACCCAAGTTCAATCCTATATCGAACCACGACCCAAGTTCAATCCTCCCGGAACATGGCAGACTAGCGAATTGGGTCAAGTTGCAACATGATCTGATTCGCCACCACCTACGGTACCCGGTCTAAATTCAAAAGTTAATATTTTTAAAAGAAGCAACCATTTTCGAAAAAAATAAACAAAAAAAGTGTACGTTAATTGCAACTTCATAATTCTTTTACCAACATTGATTCTTGAATATGACTCTTGCAGAAAATTGTACATTAATTGCAACTTCATAATTCTTTTACCAACATTGATTCTTGAATATGACTCTTGCAGAAAATTGTACACTAAGCCATTCAAATCCTATATTTAAAATTGAACCTAAAATGTACTATGTTTCCTAGCTTACCACATAAACTATACCCTTGTACCTAATTCCAAATAAGTTGCGTATCACGCTCCCATTCTCGTCCCGTGAATCGGAACATAATAGGTTCCATGCAACTATGGTCCTCTTCTCTTAATTCTCTCGAGACTCCATTGTGCCTTTTCTTCCAACCCCTCTAATCATTGTGTTATGCCTCTCATTCTGTTGTATCGCACCACCTTCCTGTTGTGCTACAATGTTTTATTTACCTCAACCATTCTCCAAATTAATATTTTCCATTCTCAATAGTTTTCATGATAAAATATTTGTGCTAACAAGATTTGCTCTTTCCGAGCAAAAGAAGAAAACTAAGATGAGTCAAACAAGGGGCAATGCCAAGGGCGAAGGGCATGGTCGGAGGCAAGGGTGCAGCGAAAGGAATTGAAAGAAGTGAAGAGGGGGTCTCAGTTGCAGTGGATCGAGGAAGTGTTGATCTTTGAATGAAATCCCAAACATGAATTGAAATTCATTGGTCAAAATTACACGTCTTATTTTAATTTAATCAGCTCAACATCTCAATGTCTCATTACTACATACATATGTACCTACGCATGTACATACATACATGCATGCATACATAACATACATACACACAGATAAAACATTCAGAGTAATGATAATAGTGAGATAGTGAGCTCGTTAAATTTAAAGCAAGCTAAGTAATGTATTATGGACAGTTAGATCCCAATCAATGATTGGGGTCTCATCTAGTTTATCAGAAACTTAATCAAAGATTGAGGTCTTGTCTAGTTTATCAGAAACATATATGCAGAGAGAGAACTGATAGGATGAGATCCTAAGCTCATTAAATTTAAACCTAGCTGAGTAATATGGATAGTTAGGTCACAGTCAATGATTGAGGTCTCATATAGTTTCTCAAAAACTTAATCAGCCCCTCTTTCTCAACTTCTTTAGCCCAATCCCAAATTGTGTTCTCTTGCTCGCTACTACGTTGTATCCATTGTCTTCGAGTACTCTCCGCATACTATACAATTTCAAGACTATAAAGCTTCAAGATGAGTTTAGTGCAAAACATATAAGATCACTCTACTTCATCAGTATATGACCTGATTTATGACATTTAACAAAATTCATTTAAAGATATGGGGATCAAGCTTTTGATTGGTTACTTATTTGAGTTATTTCAAATGCAAAAAGGGGACAAAGCTCAAAGAAACCCATTTATTTGTTCATATGGCTTAGTGATTCAGTTGAGTTTGTATTAGACTAAATTAAGTTGATCTTTACATGACCTGATCTGTGACATTTCACAGAATTGATTAAACATATGGAAAACAAGCTTCTGATTGGTTACTTATTTCAATGGCACAAAGGGGACAAAGCTCAAAGAAACCCATTTATTTGCTCATATGGCTTAGTGATTTAGTTGAGTTCATATTTGACTAAATTAAGTTGAGCAAAGCTATCATTTGATCAAAGGGTTAATTTCACAAAACCTCCTTGAACCTCCTTGAATATTTGAAACACTCAGCAAGCATGATGTTCTTGGCATGGGCTAATGTAACGTTTTACCTACTTGTTGTTATTATTATTATTATGATAAGGACTAAATTATGCTGATGACCACCTGACTGTTTTCCATGCGTATTGTTATTATTATTATTATAAGCACTAAATTATGCTGATGACCACCTGACTGTTTTCCATGCGCATCGATACTTTAAATATTAGTTTATCAATAGGCAATAATTTTTTTACCTTTCTAAAGGGCACATCGCCTCCTAGTTTCATGCCCAGCATCACCATGCGGGCCACCCAGAAGAAAAGGATGTCATGTCCAGTTTCTAGAACTGATGTCGGATAGAACGTCTTAAAATCTTCTGTCACATCAGGCCAACCGAGTACAGATAACGGGAAAATACCGGATGAAAACCATGTATCTAAAACATCTGGGTCTTGAACAATGTCAAACTTTTTTCCTGGGAACAAGCGGTTGGCCTCGGAAATTGCTTCCTCTTCATTCCTTCCAACTACCCAGTGATTATTGTAAGAACCAATATCTCTAAGCTGGTCATCATCCAGTGTTACATACCAAGCAGGAATTCGGTGACCCCACCAAAGTTGTCTTGAAATGCACCAATCTCGGATATTCTCTAGCCATCTAAAAAATCCAAATGTATAAATAACTAAGCAACGAAGTCAAAAATCAGTGTGGCAGAAATGCTAAAAGAATAAACATCTTAATTAGAAATTTAAAAAAAATACCTCTTCCACTCAGGGCCCGTTTGGTTGTATGTTTTTACCATGTAAAATGATGGAAAGTGTAAAAAAGTGGGTCCCAATATCAGCTTTCATCACTTTCAATTGTTTGTTTGTAATTGTGAAAATAGTGTAAAGTGATTTCATATGCTGATGTGGCTTGTAAAGTGATTTCATAAAAAAAAAGACATGATTTTAGGAGAAAGCTGACATTAAAGTCAGGAAAAAGTAATTTCAACCAATATGATCACTTGAGTAGGGACCACTTTTTACACTTTCCAAACAAACAATTAAAGTTTTATTTTGCAAACCAAACAAGTGTTTTATGATTCCAATGGAATCAAAAACAAACAAAGAAAAGTGTAAAAGTGAAAATGATGAGGTGGACAACAACTTTCCAAGTTGTGTCATAAATACACAACTTTACCAACAACAACCAAACAGCCCCTCAGCTTCATATTGCTTCGAGATAATCTCAATTTTCTTCTCTTCTTTGCTTATAACGGCATCAAGAGCTGCCTTTGCCATGCTATTACAATCAACAAACCACTGAGGTTTTACCATTGGTTCCACAACATCATTACTTCTCGAACATATACCAAGGTTCATGTCATTCTTCTGCGCACCTCTATATAGTTTCTGATTCACAGAAAAGACATTCTCAGTAATAATTTGGAACTATTACAGTAGGGTCATTTGGTAAGAAGGGAGATTAGCAAAATACTTTATTTTAAAATTAATCATATCGCATTATAACTGGAGTGCCAGAAATCATCTATTCATCAAGTGAATATTGGGATAAGAAGGTGAAATAGGTTACTGTAACTATTCCAATAGGTCCGCAAAAAGTGTTGCCCGGATCTCATGGCCCTATAGTGCAGTTTCAGGTACAAAGATATTCATATGAGGATAATAAATGTGACAGGCAGTAGATCTAAAGGTTTTAGATGCTGATACTATTTCTGTAGAAAACAATTCAACCCATATATTTTATAGTGATCAGCAGAAAAGCTAATGAAGCAGCTTTCCAATATGACGCTGTTATATGATGATGCATGATTGATCAAAAAATAAAGGGAAATAAAGTAAAACATAAAGCATTCATGTATTTTTGAAGGGTTTAAAATTGCCGACTTTGATGTAATCAAGGATCTGAAAAGATTAGTAAATAGAGATATTTCAAATCTTCAGCAGCTTCTTATGTATGAAAAGGGAAATTTTACAAAGTAAACAAAAGTCGATCTGGCGCTTCGGGTTAACAGTGCAGTAGAAAAATTGCTGCAAAGAACAAAAAGAAGTTGTGGATTCTATTTTTTTTCTTTCAATCAAGAACAATATGGAAAACACATTATGCTAGAAAGATAGAAAGAAGCGGTGAAAGAAGTTATAATTAGATGTCGATGTCTACACAATAACGTGCGAAACTTCAGAAGACATGTATGCTTCGTTATTGCAAGTATATCAAAAAATAAATGATGATAACAAAATAATTTTCAGTTCACTTTATTTCTTGGGCCTCTTTAATTGCTAACAAGCTCAGGAATAAAGTATCATAATATTCAAGAAAAAATGAGGAACTACTGAAAAATCACTTAAGTGCCATTGGACAATAAAAATTGCCAAGTAAACAACCTAATACCTTCCCTTCAAAAGCTTCAAGCACACCACCACGAGCTTTAAATCGTGGGCATGCCCCCCCTTCAAACTCTGGGCCCCCATTGCTATTTCTTGTCCTCATCAGTAAAAATATGATAACTCAAGATAATGCCGCTTTCCCCAACTTCAAAATCATTAGGATCATGACTGGAGTAATCTGCCAAAAAGAAAAAGAAAAAAAATGAAAAAGAAAGGAAAGTAAGGTAACGTAAGAAAAACGCATAAACATAGCAGTATATATATATGAAGCAAGAGGCAAATATTAGCTAAAATCAGATAATTTTTTGTGAATTGCCCACATAGTCCTGCCCTATATGTGACATGCTACCTTAAACAGCCCTGTCGCCAAATTTAGGATCAACCGGATATCAATCACAGATATTGGACTTTCTCTTATTGAAAGGATTGATGGCAATATTTCCCAAATGTAGATGCAGAATTAATCGGGAATCTTTGAATGTATAGCAATTGCAACATCACCGAGCATCGTTTTCCTATTCTGGTGGTGGCAAAACAATCTCTGCCTAGCGCCTTCGCTCAAGTGGGATTAGGCAAAAATGTCAAAAACTGCCGAACTGAATAGGAATTCATCACCCAGCGAATTCTTAATAGAGTCTCCTCTTTGATTTATGATGATCAACCTAAATATAAATGAGATAACAAGTTAAGTTCGACTGTTAACATATAACAGAGTAGTATATATTTCAGTTAAAGACCAGGTTTGAGAAATTCAGGTATGACCTCGATATCAGATATTGCTGTTCTTAATGTGCAATCCCAGTTTACAAGGCGATGATCCCTGCAAAAGTAGACAACAATTACAAGAAGTCGTCGATGATGCCAAAAGGAAGCAATAAGAACACACCAAAAGATAGCAATAAGAGCGAAGTTTAATTTGCTGCAATCATTGACTAATTGTATAGTAAACCAAAAGGTTCATCCTATTGGTTCTAAATTCTAATATCTAACTGATTCGGTCCAATCATCGAACTAATTAGTGAGATCCCACATAGACTAATATGAGAACTAATTAGTGAGATCCCACATAGACTAACATGAGAACTAATTAGTGAGATCCCACAGACTAATATGAGAATGCCTACATTCCCACAAAAATGTCAAGATTCTAATACCTGGCATGTTTTAAAACCGTCACCATAACCATCATCCTCATCATTTGCAAATGTTAAATACTTCAATCACTGTTCGTATAACGCCCATCCTCATCAACTTCTATAGCAAGCATTCATTTGATGCTTAACAAAAACAAAAAACAAAAAACAAAGCATATATATATAATATATATATATATATATATTATATATAAATAAGTATATATATATATATATAATATAATATATATATATATATATATATATCAGTAGATAAGTATGATTACAATACAAAGTATATAAAATATTAAATAGCCAAAGTTCAAAAACTAAACTTAAGCAAAACTACAAAAAAGCCTAAAAATACAGCCACCAACTACAAGGGGAGAATAAATCTAGAGATCATATTGAACCAATTTATTGTTGATATTCTTCTATTTTATGTTGTTAGTATTGGCAATCTAGAAGAAAGTGCCATGACGAATAAGCAGAATAGAAATGGGAATGGGGCACAGAGAATTATGGAGGATAAATTCAAATACCAGGGGGGAAATATAAATATCATCATTGAGACAAGATATTTCTTCCGCTATGACCAGTTTGATTCCATGAATTATCATGTAAACAAAAATTCCACATTATATTATTTCCAAATCATCTTGAACATAAACCCAAATAACAATCATAAAGCCGGACAGACTTATTTGCAACAAATATGACGAGAAGAGAGTTAACAAAGGAATTGTGTTCACAATATATTGCCGCAAGACCAATTTGTTTATATACTATGTAAACCAAGGACTCAAGATCATGTTATTTCTAAATTATCTGGAAATACACCCGGATCAGATGAAGTCGGACAAACATATTTGCATCAAATATAAAGAGAAGTTAATGAAACAGAATGAAAGTCCTCACTAAGAAATTAGTGTAGCAAAGAAAATTTCATAATTAAGGTGACAAAGAACTAAAATTTAACTATAATAAATACTAAGATAGTTCAAAAATAGCCCTTTGTCACAACAATCTACAAGAGATGTGATCAAGCAGACGCTGCAGACCTATAAATTAGACCTTCACGGTATAGCCGGACAAACGCCTCTATTACCGCCTTGCATCTCTTCTCATCCATAGTGAAACACTGATAGAAAAGTTGACAAACAATATATTAGACCATGGAAGTTATATGAAATGTTAATACTTTGAAGATAAGACTACAGTTTTCGGCACCAACAATGATACCTCACGAGACCAATCAAGAGAAGCTCCAAGCCGACGTTCTTGGTTCAATATGGTACCTCCATACTCATTTTTCCATTTCCAAACCTATTAAATGCAAGCAACAAGGTTGGATCCAATGAAAGTTGAGTGATCAAAAGCCTATGTCAGATAAATATTTCCTTTGTAGAGGTAAAATCAATGTTGAAAATATTGATAGCAAATGATGTAACCCTTAGCTTCTCGATAGGTGAAAATGCATACAGCATAACATAGAGCATATGTTACATGCTTTGTTGTTTTTAGATTTAAAAACAAATATAAATATATCCACATAATAAGTTTAATAAATGGGACAATGATATCAAAATATAATAGATTGAAATCGTAATAAAAGTTCCAAACTTATAACAAGGCGTACTAATTTACTAATAAGTACCACAACAAAATGTTCAAATATATATGGATTTATTATTATAGAAAACCACCCCAGAACTTTTGAGGTGTCCTAGTAACCCCCTCAACATTTTTTTATTATACTAAACCCCCCTGAACTTTAGGAGTTGTTGCACATGGCCCCCACAAACTGTTTTATTTCACTAAATTTCACATGAAAATTTCTCAATTAATCTCCAAATTAGCATCACCGATTCTAACATCTCCTGCGGCAAGCATGTGCTAAAAAAGATGGAAATAATTTTTTAGTCCCAAAAAATTCCCTAATTTTCTTTTTTAGTAGAAGGCTATATTTTTGGGACTAAGAAGGAATTTTTCGGTCTTCTTTTTTTGGTATTGTGCTTACCAGTGACACATTTGAGTTGATGGTGCTAATAAGGGGATTAAAAGATAAATTTTCATGTAAGATTTAATGAAGGGGTTTGTGCAATGACTCCTAAAGTTCAGGAGGTTTGGTCTAATAAACATAGTTGATTACTATAGCTCCCCAAAAGTTAATAGGAGTTTTCTATAATTAACCCAATATATAACTACAAATTTACATGTCTCCTTCACAATTTCGCATTCAACTTCACAATAACAAGCATAATGATGTTACTAAACATCCATCACAACAATCAAAGAAGCCATCAAGGCTCAATAAACACCACAAAAGCAAATACGATTACTTCAAGTCTTAAGTATAGCAAACAGAGAAAATACTCTCAAGTCTTTAATATAGTTTATTGAAATAGTGTCTACTATCTTGAAACAATTTATAATTAGTTAGCATACATTATATTGAAATAGTGTACACTGATATAGCGTAGAGTTGCACGTGTTTGTGTTATTTCATAATATTATGTAATGTTACGGTTAATATGTTACCTAACGCAAGAAACTATGAGTTATATAGCACGGTTATTTCAACACTGGGTAGAATGCCGCATACTAAGTTACAATCATTTAATACACGAGTGTGAAACATTCTGGATATGGTTGAAGGAGGAAAATTTTTGCATGAATCCATCATCATATTATTCAATAGAAATTGACAACTCACTTCAGAGATAAATTTCTCACGTCCAACATCATGCCTTGTAAGCTTAGATTCACGCATGAGCTTCTTCTCAACAACAACCTGCAACATTTAATACAACCTGCAACATTTAATACAAACTGCAATTACTATGTGTTTCGAGGTCATGGTTTTTGATCGAACCTGAAATAACAAAGTTTGGCAAATATATGTGAAGTTCATAGCAAAGGAAAATTTTCCTTCTCCAGAAGTACTGAGCAAATTTCTAAAAATTAAACAAGCAGAAAATTGAACTGTCAAATCCTAAAGAAATGTCATGACATGACAAGAATGACGCTGATGCCAACAAAATAATCCAAGAAGAAGTGATGGACTCTGCAGCTATCCTCAGTTATATGAGCCAGAATTATTCCAGTGAATATGTCAAAAGTGTAGAAGAAAAAGTATTCTCAAGATTACACTATCAACTTCCTAACAAATGAATGACATGGTTTTGGCATAAATCACCAATTAGAGGTGAATGACGAAGGGATATCAAAGGAAATCAGAAACCTGGGTCGCAATGCCTGCATGGTCCATTCCCGGCACCCACAATGTATTGTCACCTGACATTCTGCGCCATCTGATTATTGTGTCCTGCATTATTATAGAACACCACAACAAATTTAAAAAAAAACTGAAATAATAGGTTGGTCTACTAGACGAGGATAGTTAACTTAGTCACCTGTATGGCACTACTAGACGAGGATAGTTAACTTAGTCACCTGTATGGCAGCAGTAAGACCATGGCCTATATGAAGAGCAACAGTTACATTTGGAGGAGGCAAGACCTGCAGAGGGTATTATACAAAAGATTAAGTCATCAGGTATTTGTATACTTAAGAAAGAGTTACAGTTTCACTGAAGGAAATTAGCAAATTGAACCTTAGAAGTTTTAAGTGAATCAAGGATATAAATTCAATTAATATATCATGCTTTTCTGAGTACTAGGTAAAAAGCACGTGCAATGCACGTTGTCAAATATTATAATTATTGACTTTTAGTTTATGTATTTACTATAACATAGTTGCAAAAAAGTTTATGATTATCATAATATATTAAAAAGTTTCAGATATTTCAATATATAAAATCTAATCTTATTGGTTTCAACACTTTACCTTCCACATAATTAGTGAGGTTTAAAGTCTTAAAATATTAATGATCTAAGAGCAATTTAATGATTTGAAATTCTACTTTTAAAATATTAATGATTAATGATGTAAGCACCAATATCTAAAAAACTATTATTATTAATGAAAAAATAATCTCGAATTCATCAAACATAAAATTGTAGGTTTTATCTAGTTATAGAGGATTTTGTTTAATTATAAAGAAATCACTCGCACCTATTGTCTACTTCCATTTTCTATTATCTAGCGACCGAGGATTATAGATATTCAAAAATTTTTTTCATAATTTTTAAAGTTAGAATGTGCAAATTCAATCAAGAAAGAAAATATAAATTATGTGACCAATTCTAAAATCTAATATAATAATCTTCCTACATTTTCTCAACAAATTAATTAATTTGTCAACAAATTAATTAATTTGTCAACAAATTAATTAATTTGTCAAAACGATTATTCTATAATTTTAGAAAACTATAAAATATAATTTGAGAATGATTTAAACATATTTTGTACACATATGGATTATATTTTAACAAAATAATTTAGATCTATCCAATATTAAATAATATCCAAAAAAATTAGGTTAAAGAGTTAAGAGAATCTAATAAAAATCATATCCAAACTATATGCTTCATAAAGGTGAGACATATAAAATGAACAACTTAATTTATTTTGTTAAATAATATATTACAAATCATAAAAGATAAGGAGAACCATAAGGATCACATAGTCATCCCAAATAAAGATTAAATTTCTATCTGCGAATTTTGTAGCAAAAAATTTTCAGAGATACTAATAGACTTGCTATAAAATCCAATTTTATAAGATTGATGTCACATGTGTCTTAAATTATGCTTTGTTTAAGGGTTAATTTTAGAAAACTTCCCAACTATGGGGGAAATGTTAAAAAATCACCTCCCCCCCCCCCTCAACTACTTAAAATGAGTAGATCTTTGTTCGTCAAATTTGGGGTGTTGTAGTTAATCTATCTCAACTTCAAATTTTTGTTTTGATTTAACCCTATGAACTTTCCTCAATTAACCCCTCAAAACTAATATCGTTGAGTCTAATTCATTAAGTGATAAGTACTTGACTTGGAAAGACCAAAATATCCCTCAGCCCTAAAAAGAATTAGCTTGGTTTTCTTCCAGATAAAAGAAAAAGTGAAGATTTAGAGGTAAAAAGAACTGTAAATTGGTCGTAATCCTTTTATTATCAGTTGAGAGTTTCTTTTTAACTAAAATGGTTTTCTTCAATAGGTCATTTTAACAAAATCACATATTAAAGTCTTTTACATTAAGAGGGTTTGTTAAGAGATGTGTAAAAGACCAGGAGAGTTTTTATAAGACGCACTAAGTCGAAGGGTGTTTTCTAAAATCGCACTAGAGTTGAGAGAGAGGTTATCTATAACACTTCTATAGTTAGGGAGCTCGGTCAAATTAAATTAGCTGAGTGGTTTTTTTGAGACATTCCCCATAGTTGAGAGTTTTAGAGTTTTCAAGAAATTAACTATTCCTTTAAATTTAGCTTATTTACATATTTATCCCTCAAATGTTTTATAATTCAATATTAGTCCCTAAATTATAAGCAATTTTAAAATTTTAAGGGAATAATGTAGAATTATTGGAGATTTAAAATCAAGGATATGATATCTAATTACCTTTAAATATTGCTCTTATAGGCAATATATGAAATATCAGCTGATATATCGCTATATCAACTGATATAAAAGGTTAAATACTTTATCTTGATAATATTTATGATATCAGCTGATATATCGCTATATCAACTGATATAAAAGGTTAAATACTTTATCTTGATAATATTTATGGTTTTATATTGTTTTCTTTTATTTGGTGATTTTTTCTCATATATCGATCATTATCGAAAATATTGACTGGTATAACAAAATCGAGTCATTTTTAATTTAATTGTGGGGTTGGTATTGGGTCATGTTTAGAAACCAAAACTAAAAGCACAAGTCACAAAAGTCACAATTCATATTCCAAATCTCTCCACTCTCGGCTCTCCCAAATTTTAAGTAAATATCTTGACAAAAAATCTTATGTTAAAATTCATCAATATTTGAGATTATAGATTACAATGTTATATTATGTATGAGCATTATCTCATATAACACACAGATATTTACATAACCCTGATTATTGCAATCCAATGTCCGTGGATTTTATTTGTCTAGCATTTATATGATGCCCAACACTTTGTAGTAGTCATTTGAAAGCCTCTTCTAAAAGTTTCCAAGCAAAGTATATAAATAATAATTCAAAATCTTAAGATTATTCAACACATGATGCTTTTATTTTCCCACATCTCCTCTAGTATATAAATATAAGGTAACCCTCTGGCCTCATATTATATGATGAATATTATTTTCCCACATCTCCTCTAGTATATAAATATAAGGTAACCCTCTGGCCTCATATTATATGATGAATATTATTTATCAAATGGATCACATAATATTGCTTGTGGCTAACAAAGACTTTAAATCTTTATTGGCTTAATTAAATTAAATACCTTACAGTTTATAAAAATTTTAATTACATACTTGTACTTGTATCTTGCTGCATTTAAATATCCTAATGTTTTTTTAAAATTGCATGTATGTACATTCTATACGCAAGAATAATATTTTTAATTTTCGTATATGAATATAATTGTATAATTTTAGGATAATTCTATATTTTTTACTTTTTCTATTAATAATTTATTAACATGCAATTGTCTATTAATATATTATTAGACATTACTAATAATTAACATGAAAGTTTTACAATAACATCGAAAGTTTTAGGGACCAAGTTAGACAAACTTGAAGTGGCATATAAATGATATAATATGATTAATTAACAATAATAATTCATTTAGTTTAGTTAGGATTAAAATATAATATTTAAAAAATAAGGGTAATATAGTCCATAGAAAGTTTTTCTACAACTTCATTTTTTTAAAGGGAGTATGATTCTAAGCGAAGTATATAATTTTATTTATAATTCAAAATCTTGAGACTTATTCAAAATATGATACTTAAATTTTTCCACATCTTCTGTACTATATAAATATAAGCTAAGCCTCTGGCCTCATATTATACGATAAATATTATTTTCAAAGGAATTACATACTATTGCTTATGGTTAACAAAGGCTTCAAATCTTTATAGGCTTAATTAAACTTAAATACATTATAGCTTACGAAAGTTACACTCATATACCTCCACTTATATCTTAATGCACTTAAATATCCTCATGTTTTCTAAAATTGCATGTTTGTACTTATGTACGCAAAAATACTCTTTATAATTTTCCTATGTGAGTGACATGATATAATTTTAGGACAATTTTATATTTTCTACTCCTTCCAAAATAATTTATTAACTTGCAATTGTCTATTAATATAGTATTATGCATTATTAATAACTAATATGAGAGTTTTACAATAACATTGAAAGTTTTAGGGCCAAGTTAGACAAAATTGAAGTGGCATGATATGATTAATTAATAATGATAATTAATTTAGTTAATTTATGATTAGAATATAATATAAAAAAAGAATATGAATCTTGAGATTATTCAAAATATGAAGCTTAAATTTTTCACATCTTCTGTACTATATAAATATATAAGGAATCTTGAGATTATTCAAAATATGAAGCTTAAATTTTTCACATCTTCTGTACTATATAAATATATAAGCTAAGCCTCTGACCTGATATTATACGATGAATATTATTTATCAAAGGGATCACATAATATTGCTTGTGGTTAACAAAGGCTTTAAATCTTTATACGCTTAATTAAACTTAAATACCTTACAGCTTACGAAAGTTACAGTTATGTACCTCCACTTATATCTTAATGCACTTATTTATCCTAATGTTTTATAAAATTGCATGTTTGTACCTATATACGCAAGAATACTCTTTATAATATTCATATGTGAGTGTCATGGTATAATTTTAGGACAATTCTATATTTTCTACTCCTTCCAAAATAATTTATTAACTTACAATTATTTATTAATATAGTATTATGCATTATTCATAATTAGTATGAGAGTTTTACAATAACATTGAAAGCTTTAGGGCCAAGTTAGACAAAATTGAAGTGACATGTAATATGATTAATTAATAATAATAATTAATTTAGTTAATATATGATTAGAATATAATATAAAAAAGAATAGGGGCAATATAGTCAATGAAAAGTTTTTCCACGACTCCCTCTTTTAAAGGGAGTATGAATAACTATAAACTATAGAACAAAGTTTAAGAATCATTTCTGCTTTCATTAATATATTGATGGCTGCAGAGTACTCTCAGGTTTATTCCATACACAATGATGAAACATTTACTACAAAAAACATACATGTCTTTTCAACTATAGCACCAAAACATCTTGTTCATCAAAGTAATAACAATATAATTAAAAAAATGCGTAGCTAAAGCATTATTTTCCATTGAAAGAAAATCGGCAGCAAGGTTCTTGTGTACAAAAGGAAAATACTCTAGATAAAGCATAATAATTTGAGCACGAAATACAATAAAGGACCTACTATTGTAAAAGGAGGTCTTGAGCAGCTAGAATCTGCCATGAAAAATCCTGATCTCTCCCACCACGAGTACCATCTAGATGGACAAAGAGAAAACAAATTTAGTTAGAATCATGTATCTGTTTTCTGCTTATTGAAATACTTCAATCAACAATAGCATTACGATTTTTCCACTGCACTAGGGCTATATTGCTTTGCCATCTGATGGGAGAGTTGTTTCTTCTCTCCAGCAGGAGTCACAGGATCAATAAAGTCCTCAGGATTCTCATCATCAGCTTCCCGTTTCCGAAGCTTCTTTTCACTTTTCTTCGATCCCTCAGTTGCTTTCTGTGCCTATCAGATAACATAGAGATTATTTTAAAAAAAACATTTGATCATAACTGTGCATAAATAACCATTTCTCCAGAAAAAATATCAATGCACAGCTACGCTACTTCAAATTAGAAAGAAAAAATTACTAGCAAAACCTAAATTTTACCTGAAGTTTGGCAGCTTCTGCTTTTTGTGCAGCCTTCAGTTTTTTTTCCTCTTTGAGTTTAGCCTGCCAAGGAAACAGATATAAATCATGCAATTGAAGAAATTCGTGCCAAAAATACTAGTGAAGTACGGGAAAGAAGGGGATGTTTAAGTGTACAAGATAGCTACTTTAACATCTGCAGCAAACTGGGTTACCAAAAATTAGAGGTGTTTTTTACAATGTAGTGTAACATTCAACGACTGACAGCACAGCTAAATCACAACAGTTCATACATAATTCCACGTTTTTTTGTGATTGTCGTTGAGTTCCTTAATTGTACTTGTTCTTCTATATCACCTCAGAAACATCACACAGCCCGGATCTTTGAACTTCAAAACAGGTAAAAGAAGCACGAACAGTACAGAAAAAAATTACAAGAAACAATCTTTAAAGTAATTCCTACTGGGGAAAACTGTTAGGAATAATTTCTGTCTACTTCTGTCATATAATAGTTCATTTAAGACTCCTGAAAAAATTATATAACTCCTAGATTGTCCCAAAAATGTGATTTTTACTGATAAGAGGACACTGCATGCAATGAAGTATTCCATGTCATATCATATATGTGTAAAAAAGCAAAACCCAGATCTTAATGTGTAATATAAACACCAAAAATTTAACAAAATTATACCTTCTGTTCCTTCTTGAGTTTCCTCTCCAAATCCTCTTCCTCAAGCTGCGCCAAACTCAAACATAAGTGAAATAAAAAAAAATCTTGAAATCGAGAACAAAATCTTTTACTTAAAAAAATAGTAAACGAAATTAAAACTGTAGGCTGTCAAAAAATCATAATAGATAGCTGATCCCCATCAAAATACCGATGATAGAAGTTATAATCTGACGACTTTCAGAAGGTTACAATTTAAAGACTTTTACGTAGACTGATGAAGGTTACAATCTGACGACCTTCACAACAACTGATGAAAGCTCTAATTCAACAGCCTTCACAATCAACATCGGGAGTTACAAATTGACGACTCTCATATTATCAAGAGCTAAATGTAAGGATTACAATCTGACGATCCTCACAAAAGTTCATAAAAAAAAAAAAAAGATTATAATTGACAATCTCTTCAATGCGAAGGTCGCGTTTGACCATTTCAAATCCTTGAAACGGTCCTCCACTTAATAGGGCAACTAAGCTCCATTATGGAGCTAATTAAGGGGGGGTAGTTATACCCCTTAAACTCCTACAAATAGGTGGTTTTCACAACAAAATAGGGCTGGTGGTAGAGGGCTAAATTAAATTAAAAGAAAGAGAGAACAAGAGAGGAGAAGAAAGGTCAGATTTGCGCAGTTGTGATCGGCGTGACGATCAGACCCTCATCCGTAGTCCGATCGATGTGAAATTTGGAGGGTAGCTTCTACACTCGTCTTTCCTAATTCTGAACGGTGGAGATTGCTTTCTATCGGTTAGATTTGGAGATATGAAGGTTTTACCGAAGCTGGTCGTTCCAGGAGTGCAGAGAAAAATCACTTTCGTGCAGTTGCGATCGGCGTGACGATCGGACCCTCATCCATGGTCCGATCGATGTGAAATTTGGAGAGTGGCTACTACACTTATTGTTCCTAATTCTGAACGGTGAAGATTGGTTTCTATCGGTTAGATTTGGAGATATGAAGGTTTTACAGAAGCTGATCGTTCCAGAAGTGCGGAGAAAAAGTCACTTTCACGCAGATGTGATCGGCATGACGATCAGACCGTCATCCGTGGTCCGATCGATGTGAAATTTGGAGGGTAGCTACTACACTCGTCATTTCTAATTCTGAACGGTGGAGATTGCTTTCTATCGATTGGATTTGAAGATATAGAGGTTTTACCGAATCTATAGAGGACTGGCAAAGCTTTTTTAAGATTGGCCAAAGAGAGAAAGAGATCAACTACTCTTTTGGAAATGATTAAACTTTCTTTATTATCATCAACTCTTTTTAGAGTTCCCCTAACTCGATCAGAGTTTTAAAACTTGTTTACCAAGTTCTTTTCAACTCTTCCAAAGAGTTTCTTAACTCGGCTAGAGTTTCAAACTTGTTCAAACAAGTTCTCTTCAACATCCTACGGGGCTAGAGTTTTTGGGAGAGATCAAAAACCACCCAAGGTCAACAAATCTCGGCAGTTGAGTAATCGGAAGGAAGAGATCTTCGGGAGATCAAGGAACTGATCAACAATCAGTTAATCAAATCCCGAAGGATCCTTTCATCAAAGGTATCATCCACTTGGCAATTAACCGAATTTTCGGTTCCAACAACTCTGTTACAGAGTTTTAACTCATTCTGAGTTCTTAAACTCGTTAAGAGTTCTTAATTAGCTTGCAACGCAAGTTAATCACATCAAACCAGACATTCGGTTTTCAACAACTCTTATCAGAGTTCTTAACTCGTTCAGAGTTCTTTAAGTTAATCACATCAAGCCAGACATTCGGTTTTCAACAACTCTTATCAGAGTTCTTAACTCGTTCAGAGTTCTTTACACTCGTTAAGAGTTCTAAACCGAAGTCATCAAGCACTTCAATTGTTCCAGTGAAGAAGGACGGTCGGATCGTCAACGGAGAGCAAGTTCGACGCGATCAATCGAAGGAGGCACTCCACCGCTACCAAGAAGAACCCAGTTTTAAACAAAGGGGAGAATCAAATTCATTCTCCTCTCTTTTGTAATCGGAATCCAAATTGTAATCGATTTTGAGAGAATACAAGTCAAATTTTCTTTCTTTGTCTTTTTACATCAAATTTCCAACAAACAAAAGATGGCGACTCCGCTGGGGAATAGCTTCTCTGACGAGGAAGTGGTGGCGCAATCCGACGTTCACCTTACAGGAACCACCGTCGAAACTCTCGTCGTAGAGTTCGACCAAGCCAAGTATGAGGAGGTCCTCTCCTCTGGGTCCCTTAGCCCAAAAGCTAGGCGTGATACCCACAGGACCTCTACGGAGGTCAACACTACTGCTGAGATGCCAAAGAAAGCCCTCTCCTTTGGCCAAGACCTTAAACTCGCTCTGCGAGTTGAAGATTCCTCCCCCGTATCACTACGGCAAATAATAGGTCAAAAAAGACCTATGTCGGAGGAAAGCCCAACCAACGCCGACGATGCCGCGGCCAAGGCCTTGAAACAGGCTAAGAAAAATGCTGCTCGACGAAGGAGAAGATCCTTACGGCGAGCATACTTGCGGAACAGCCAAGCTACTGCACAACGCAAAGACTGCGTTTCTGAGCTTGTGCCCGAACTGTGCGTTTCTGCTCCAGAACGCACACTTCGTGGCAATGAACCCGACTATGAGCCTCGGGTTATTCAACTCAAACGCGACCCTCAGTGGCGCGTTGTTCAACATAGACGCACACCTCAAAAGTGCGTCCCAAAACGTGACCTCCAAAGGCACGTTCAATCATTCAAACGCACGCCACAACCGTGCGTTCAGTCAAAACAAGACCCTCAAGGGTCTGTTCAAACAACCAAACGCACACCACAAGTGTGCGTTCAATCAAAACCCGACCCTCAGGGGTCTGGGTCATCAAACAAACGCACGCCACAAGTGTGCGTTCAATCAAAACCCGACCCTCAGGGGTCTGGGTCATCAAACAAACGCACGCCACAAGTGTGCGTTCAATCAAAACCCGACCCTCAGGGGTCTGGGTCATCAAACAAACGCACGCCACAAGTGTGCGTTCAATCAAAACCCGACCCTCAGGGGTCTGGGTCATCAAACAAACGCACGCCACAAGTGTGCGTTCAATCAAAACCCGACCCTCAGGGGTCTGGGTCATCAAACAAACGCACGCCACAAGTGTGCGTTCAATCAAAACCCGACTCTCAGGGGTCTGGGTTATCAACCAAACGCACATCACAAGTGTGCGTTCCAGCAAAGAACGACCCTCAGGGATCTGTTTCTTCATCTAAACGCACACCACAAGTGTGCGTTCAAACAAAGAACGACCCTCAGGGGTCTGTTTCAACATCAAAACGCACACCACAAGTGTGCGTTCAATCAGGACAAGATCCACAAGGATCTAGTCCATCAATCAAACACAGGCCTCAGCCTCGTGTTTATAAACCTAAACGCGACTCTCGTGTTTCTTATCAAGAGCATGACACGGTCCGTCAGGTTCAAAAGGGACAACATGGATTTGAGATTCATGTTCAACCCATCCAAGGGCAGGGGGTTCCATCTCCACCTTCACGAGATCTTTCCCAGGTCTCCGACTTGCGTGAGCTATTGACAAGAGGAAGGCCAACACAGCAAGTAGCCCATTCATGCCAGTGTGAACGGCTCATTTCCGCTGTTCTCTCCTAATGCAGTTGTTGTTCACCTACGCCTAGGCGCTAAACGACAGCGTCGCCACAAAAAGAAGACCTCTGAAATCGAATATCCTGAGGTCACCATCAACATGGTCGGCAGAGGCAAATCCTCACATCCTGATTCTGATGAGTCACAAACAAGTCATTCCCCGACTGTTCGGGAAATCTGTGATGAGTTTGAGGGAGTATATAGGCATACTCGGACTCAGACAGGAGCTATTCGCCCGGTTAACTATCAAAAGTTAGCCAAATGGATTACAACAAGTGATGAATATTCGACAATAGCCGAATCTCAATCTTCGAGCTCGGTCGGACCACAGGAGGTATCTGCTTATATGGCGGGAAATCCCGAGGACATAGTCAAAAGAGTGGACGAACATCACGTCATGCTCCAGGTGCAACAGGAGACACTTCTCCAATTGAAGGACATGTTGGCCCAAGTTCTGGCAGAAAAAGGCCAAAAACCCGAATCTTCCCGGAGGACAACCTCCAAAGGGAAACAGAAAGTGACCGAGCATTCGGATCGTGAGACTCGCAACCTGGGATCCTCTTCTGAAGGAGAGAAAGAGGTGGAAAAAGAACTGCACCCTCAGTCCACTAAAATGGATGAACTGGAAGCTCGCCTCAATGCAATCGCCAACAGAAGTGAGCTCCGTGAAGAAGGAGTGGTGAGGCCTTATCCTGCTGAGTGGGATATAGCTCCATACCCGCCGAAGTTCAAAGCTCCAACCTTGCAACCGTTCGATGGCACAGGATCGCCAAATCAGCACATCTACTACTTCAAATCTCAAACTGGAGATGTTGTGGCGAACGATGCCATCTTGACACGCTTGTTCATAGGCACTCTTAAAGGAGTAGCCTTTGAATGGTTTATGAAACTGCCTGCTGGATCTATTCAGAAATGGGTAGATTTGGAAAGGCTTTTCTTGGCTAGGTTCTTTGAGGATGATACGGAAGTTTCTGTCCCAACTCTTCTCGCAGAGAAAGGGAGAATCCATCAAGGCCTACGTGGAGAGATTCCGCAGCATGGCATTGCGATGCCCCTCAGGTATGACTCAGTCAACCCAGGTTGAAACTTGCAGACACAACTTGCAGACTCAGCTCCTCGCCCAGATAGGGGTAGCGGAGTGTCGCTCCTGGAGACAACTTGTTTCGCAAGGAGAACAAGCTGAAGAGATTGTGGCTCGGGTGAAAGCCGAAGAAGCTGCACAGCCCAAACCGCAACAGCAGCAGCAACGCAACCAGAACAACTAAGGGAAAAGAGACCCTAGCAGCCGACTACTCTCAAGTACCACCGCCCACGAAGCAGGGCAAAGCTTCAAATAAGCAAAAAGTGCCCAAACAGTATTTCTTCAAGGAGGAGCATGTGGACACCTTGTTCCAGCTACTGCGGAAGAACAACAAGTTACAGCTTCCTGAAATTAGGAAGCCAGAGGAGGCAGGGAAGGTAGATGACCCTAATTACTGCCGCTATCACAGGTTCTTGGGACATCCTACTAGAAGATGTTACATCTTTAAAGACATCCTCCAGAATTTGGTGGACGCCAAAGTGCTTACTCTAAAACCTGAACAGAAGACTGTCTCTACCAACATGATAACAGTCCAGTTCGGTGATTTCCCTCCAGTGGCGACCACAGATGGCATTATCCCCATCCACAAGGGAGAAATGCGTCTGAAGAATACTGACTTGCACAGTCAGAAAGACAAGGGGTTAGAAATGCGTCTGAAGAATACTGACTTGCACAGTCAGAAAGACAAGGGGTTGATACCCCTCACCACCTCAAAAGGAGAAATCATGTGGGTTCACCCTGATCTAGTGGGAGACCAACAATGCACGAATACCTCGTCCAAGAAGAAAGGAGGCAAGGCTAAGTCTTCCAACATGATTAGCTCCTCCATTACTGAGAATGATGATCACCTCAAGACCCTCACAGATTCAGAGGAAGAGAGGATTGCCCTGGCTGCATATCCAGGAGACAACCCTGGTACTCGGTCTGGAAAGACTTACTTGAAAGACTACGGCCAGAATGCTCAAGAAGTTGAGGAACCACCCCAAGACGCTGGGGGTTCTGTCCCCAAAAAGCCAGTTGATAAGGGGAAACAAAAAGAACTCCAGTTTAACAGGAATCTCCACCAGGAACACGGGGAGTCGAGCAATCCATTCCAATTCAATGTCATGGCACAGTTGGCTAACATACCAGCCAGAATTACGCTATATGAGCTCCTAAGGTTGTCCAAAACCACCAAGGAAGCTTTAATTGAAGCGTTGAAGAATACAGAGAGTTTTATCACCCAAGTCACTCCGATCTCCGAAGCTTCTGAAGATCAAACTTGTCGGCAATGTCTACAAGCGGCAAGAAGTTTACCCTGCATATCATTTACTCAAGAAGACATGCAGGTCAAACATAAGCACGACAGGACGCTATACTACACGGGGTATATCGGATCTTCCGAAATCAGTCGTGTCCGGGTTGACCCGGGCTCCGCACTCAGCATCATGCCTTATAGGGTCATGCAGGTCTTAGGGATCCCTCTGCA